TCTTCTCCCTCACACGAGATGGCTCAGAATATTCTGCTCACCATCAGAAGGCAGAAACCCTACGTGATTTCTTCTTCTCAATAATTGGCACTCCAGCCCCGACGACATGGGCTTTTGATCTAAGCACTATCTATCCACAGCCGGTGCCCGGACTCCACGTCCTTGATGAACCTTTTATCGAAGAGGAAATTAAGCTTGCCTTTTTCTCAATGAACCCTCAAGCCAGCCCTGGATCGGACGGTTTCGGACCCTCCTTTTATAGATCTTTTTGGCCTTTAGTAAAAAATGTAGTCCTCTCCTTCTTTTCCCACTTCCACCAAGGCATAGCAGACACAGAACGCATAAACAGTGCCCACATTGTCCTCCTCCCTAAGAAGGAAGCGCCAACATCACCCGACGCCTTTAGGCCTATCTCGTTGCAAAACTGTCCAATCAAAGTTGTTGCAAAAGTTATCACATCTCTCCTAAAGCCGCTCATCCCTCTGCTAGTGCATACCAACCAGACCGGCTTCATATCTGGCAGAAACATCGCCGAAAATTTTGTCTTTGCAGCCGACCTCATTAGCTCTTGCCACTCACGCAAAAAACCAACTATGGTCTTCAAGCTGGATTTCAGAAAGGCCTTCAACTCAGTGGCCTAGCCCGCCCTTGACAAAATTCTGGCAACACATGGGTTCTCCCCAACCTTCCGCAGTTGGACCCAAAACATTCTCCACACAGGAAAAGCGGCCATTCTCTTGAACGGGATTCTAGGCAACTGGATTCAATGCAAAAGTGGATTGCGGCAAGGTGATACGGTTTCTCCCTACCTCTTCCTCATCGTCACCGACTTGCTCCAATAGCTCATCCTATAGAACTCTGATCCTGCTCTCCACCACCCCATCTTCTCTCATCTGCCTCCCACTGTCCTCCAATACGCTGATGATACGCTCATCGTTGCTACCGCCTCTCCTGCCGCCGCCGCAGCCCTCAAAGTAATCCTAAACAATTTTGCACACGCCACGGGCCTCGCCATCAACTTCTCCAAAACTACCCTAGCCACTCTTCACACAGACGAATCCATGACTGCTGACATTGCCCTCGCCATGGGGTGCTCATGCGCCTCATTCCCTCAAACTTATCTTGGTCTTCCTCTCTCCCCGACTAAGCCTCTCACCAACGCCTTCAACCCTTTGGTACAACGTTCTAGGAAATTACTTATGGGCTGGCATGCCAAACTACTTGATAAAGGCGATCGACTCATCCTCATTTCCACAGTTATGGACTCAATCCTCACCCATTTCATGTATGTGTTCCACATCCCCAAGAAAACAATCAAAACTCTGGACTCCCTGAGAAGGGCCTTTTTTGGGCAGGAGAGGATGCTTGCTCAGGTGCTCAATGTCTTGTTGCATGGAAAAATGTCTGCTTACCAAAACAATTCGGTGGTTTAGGGCTAAAAAACTTGCAAGTTCAAAACAACTGCCTCCTTATGAAATTTGCTGCCAAAGCACTATCCAATGCACAGACACCTAGGCTTGAATGGCTTGATCTCCAACACCCTAACGCACGAGTCTCCTCATCCCCTCAAACCTCTTTCCTATGCCGCACAATTTCACAGCCACCCTACAAAATATCACGTTCGTGCTAACAAACAATGGCTCACATACTTATTTCTGGCTGGACACTTGGCTGGCTCCACAACCCCTTGCCATCACCTTCCCCAACCTATTTTCATATTCCACCTTAGAGCTGGTTAAAGTGGCTAACATTTTGTGTTTCGGTATCCAAGCTAACCTCCATAATCGTCTCTCTCTCACGGCAGAACAAGAGCTTGTGTCGCTTGTGGCTATTTTGCAGGACTTCATGCCTTCAGCGGGGGAAGATCAACGGTTCCTACTACATGGCATTGGCTTCACCACCAAACATGCATACGGTGCCCTCATGGCTCGGCCAGATAACGATCTCATTGCTCCTCTCATTTGGAGCGCCAAGGCTTGTCGAAAGCTTAAAGTCTTCGCCTGGCTACTCTTCAAAGACCGCCTCAATACCAGGGTTAATCTTGCACACAAGCATATAATCGAGTAGATATATGCCCCCGGTGTGCTAGGTTACCCGAAGGTTCCAGCCACCTCTTCATCACATGCCCTCTTGCTAATAGGATTTGGCAACGACTTGGGCTCATGCCACAAACCGATGACATTGCAGATCTACGGGACGTCATTTTCCCTCCTCACCTCTCCACCACAGCATGGCCCTCGGTCCTCTTGGCGTTATTATGGATGATTTGGGCAACACGTAATGACATGGTGTTTAGGACGGTGGATCAATGCTCTATAATAACCCTTAGGAACCTTATTTCTGTTTTGGATCTCTGGTCTCATCGTCTTGTGGAAACACAAGACAAGGAGGACGTCTTCTCGTGGCGCTCCTACCTCTCTGCACGTTGCATCGTGCCTATGTAATTCTGTACTTACTGCCACGACAGTTCTTTGAGTAATATGTTCAGGTGGGGGAGCTCCCCCCACCCCGATGATTCTCAAAAAAAAAACTACAACCCAATGACTACATAATTGTTATGTTGGAACTACATATAGTCTTCCCTTCTATGATGACCCCTCTCTCATCAAATTACTACGAAGATTTGTTTGGATTCTACCATGATAGGATGCGCCACCTTCCCTTTGCCAACATCTCCCACCTGTCCAAGTGCATCTCATGTAAAATTCTCTTTGATCCCACGACCAACGTCGTTCTCGGCATCATTCGAGTGCTTATGGGGATGCCTACTTCCATCAAGAAGTGAACCACAAATGATTCATGAGTGAAAGAAAATCTAGAAATGCATTCTCTATAGAAATACAACAAAATCCGAGTAGTACCATTCCTACCAAAAAACAAAACAAATGGAGGGTTGCACCATAGCAGTGGCCTACTCGCAGTAATCACATATCTACTGAATTAGCCCACTTCTAAAAAAAACATGCGGTTGGCTGAGATGGTCACCAGGTATAGTCATAGTCAGTAGCGAGTCTGCAGGTGCGGGGTTCGATTTTAATATCTATATATAAACTATTATTAAAATTCTTGAGCATTTTTTAAAATTCATAAAATGCTTTATTAAAAACTGGCTGAAATTCCCGATCAGAAAAAATAATCTCAAACAATAGCAAACCACACTGGGCCGGTCCATTTAGCGCTGGCGCGTTTGTCGCGCTCTTTCTTTTCCGATTGCCGGCGGACGGCGGACGGCTCGACGCTGCGATGGGCCGATGGCCACCGCGTACTGGGCGAGGTGACGGAATCCCCCATGCCCTCCGCTTCCCGCCGCAGTCACCGCCCTATCCTAGGCCTCTCCTCCAGGGGAGCCGACCCCCACCATCAAATCCAAGGCCCCCTGTTGCGCCGTCGCCAGATCTACATTCTCCATGAGCTCGTCGGGTGATATATCTTCTCTATGGTGATGCTCCAGTCCAGTGCGCCATGGAATCTTGCCGAGCTCGTGCTTTGCAAGTTCTAAGGGAGCGGCGGCGTCTGGGCGCTCGCGTATCGGCAAATGGGCTCGTTCTTTCAACCCTCATTTTGGGCTGGCATGCGAGCAATCAGTTAATACAAGGCAAAAGTGCATAACAACAGTTTGGCTTGCCATGATTTTATTGCGGGCATCGACTCTGTTCACCATCACCGTCGATTGGTTGTTTGGCTTGCTACTGCCAGTGGTTCTCTTCGTATTGGTTTGTGCAGGAGTGGTTTGATAGGTTGGTGTATATTTCTGTTGTCAATTTCTCAAGGTTTGTAGCTCTAATTCAATGTTCCAGTTTCAAATTTTGATGAACAGATAATGAAAATATAAACAAAGTTGCTCAGTCAGAGTTTTTTCGGATGCATTTCCCAAACAGACCGATCCGGGCGAGTCTAATTTCACTGGTTTTATACTTTTATTGGTGCACTGTATTTTACCAGCTGTGTAACTTCTCACAGATGTATATATTTACGCGGTTTCCAAGCGGGGCCTTAGTGTTTTAACTTTCCACTTGTTAGTTGTTATGGTAAGGACTGGAGTTGAGCCAACTGGTTAATACCTTAACGACTACTGAGTCAAGCCAAGTTGAGTCAGCTCAATTCCTTATAAAGTGCCTCAATGTGAATAATAATCGCAAAAAGAAAGAAGAAGATGAAAACTAATACCTTGATTATTGGTGCACTGCATTCTATCAGTGTACCTTCTCGCAGGTGTATATATTTACGGGGAGGAGCGGAGCTGAGTGAACTTGTTAATACTTTAAAATTTGACTAGTAACATGTGATTTATATGCCAAAAATGTATATTGATGTGGTCAAATTTAGTCTTAAAATTTCAGGGTACTAATAAACTCGGATGGTGGAGAAAGTAGCTATTTTCTTAATAGAGGATGGTAAGTAGGCGGTTATGTTTGTTATGTAATCCACATGGAGCTGAACGGACTGTATGTTTGAATAGCTTTGCTTGTCATTCAGCTTAACAGGTTGGCTGTTGGAATTTTTAACGACGGCCTTGTGTGCTGTTGGTCAAGATCTAACCTTGGTCTTTGCACATATAAGTAAATAATTTACTCCGAAGGACCGCAGCCTAAGCCCCAGTCACCAAGCCTTGTTAGGTGAAGTCAACTACCTATTCATCCTGCTGCGATACATTGGATTGCGCTGCTCTTTGGTTCCTTCCTCCTCTGCTTGATGCGTCTAAGTTGAGTTAGATTCCTCTCCTCTTTCCGGCAGCACCCTGAGCAGGGCCTCTACTACCTGCAGGTAAGATCAATGGATCCCTCGACTGCATAAAGGCATGCGATTTTCTCTTAAGTTTTCTTTTGTGCATGGGTACCGCATGGATTGGTCTAGCTAGCTAGCTAGCTAGGGTATCATATTCTTCCAAAACATTTATATCCATATTATGAAGTAGATTGAGCATGCAGATGATATTTAACAAAATTAAAAGCATGCGCATGATAGTTTTATTGGACTGACCTCAACTCTTCAGGGGGAGAATGCCACGCCGTGAGAAGCTTGTTGATGACAACTTGTGGAAGGAAGTACTGTTTGCCAACTCTTATGCCCTGCTCATTGGGTACCTGTCCATGGCCGTCAAGGGCCTGGGTTTTCTGGTGCTCACTTGGACCACTGTAGTTCTTCTTGGTGGCTACGTGTCCACACTGCAGAGGAAGGATTTTTGGTGTCTTACATTCATTACCTTAGTACAAACAGCTGGATTAGTCTTGTTACTATTCAGTTCGTGCATAATTACTCTCAATTCTCTCTTTTTCCTGTATTTCCCTTTTTTGGAAACTGTTTATGTGGTTCCATCTTCTCATGAGAACTGTTTTCTGGTTCAATGTTATTGCGTTGCGTCCGTATCTAACTTGAGGTACAAACAACAGGATTTTCGATGTTCTTCTGACTGAAAAGCTGAGCTATATTGGGGATTCATTTTCGGCAATCATAGCTGTTCGATATGCCGTGTTTGATGACCACCCTTTGCAGCGTAAACGGCAGGTGCTAGCAAATGTTGTTGCGACTGTTCAGCGAGTAGTATTTGTCATTCTATTGTGCCCACTGGCAGCCGTCTACATGTTTGGGTTGTTAATCTCCACGGGGATTTCTGTGTGGCGTCTGAGACAACACGATTATGGGAGTGATGCTGATGGACTCGGAAACCTGAAGCCGGCACTGGACGTCTTGTATTCCATTGCTGTACTCCAGGGTGTGATTTTCTGCTACAAAACCTTATTTGGTTTTGCAAAGGGATCTGTAGTGAATGCAGTACTTGAAAGAAGGGAGTTTGGGGATCAGCTTCGTGTTGAAATCTCGGACTACTTACTCGAAACGACAATCGGATGCGAAAAGAACCCATCGTTCGCTAGAGGAAGAAACCTTCTCATATGCTGTGGACCTGATGGGGTCTAAGTTACCTGATGACTATGTTTCCGGGGTAAGGATCCTGGACGCATTCACCAGTCGAACTGAGATACTTGCCAAGGGTTTTGAAGAAAAACGTATCTTTTACACTCCGAAGGCATTGAAGATGTTCGTGCAGGAGCACATACTCATGAAGTATCTGATCATGTCTGCATCCTCTACTGACTTGCTCCAGAAACTGCTTCAGACGTTAGGCTCTAGTAGTATCTATGACAGAGAGACGAGGGGGTGCGCCGCGAGGATTGTGGCCCAGATTGCTGCAGGCATCCGTTTGGAGGAGTTCCCAACGGGGCTTGTTTACATACTTTCTCTCATCAACTCATTCGAAGCATACAGTTTACTCCCACCATACCAGCGAGGGTGGGCACAAGAGACAGTCGAACAAAATTGGTACAGTATGGCTCGCCGTCTGCGGTCACAAGATCTTGATAACAAAGAAGGCAGTCATGAACAGCGAGGGGACAGTGATGGTGAACTTTTTAACGCCTACAAGGATTTAATGGTGCAAGGTTTTCGTATCATTCGGAAGCTCGCAACCAATAATGACAATTGCAGAATCATGCTCGACACGCCATGCCTGCTCCAAAAGATCATGGCGCCTGTGACCTCCGACCTACTCCACCAAATAGATCATGGTACATGGTATAGTATAGTAGAGGGTTCAATGAAAGCGATTATGTGGCTCGTGGCTGCTACTGGGCAGACCGGCACCAAGCTGCGCAGCAAAATCTCAAGTAGTAAGGAAGCGATCAACACCATGGAGAGGATTCTTGACTGTGAAGAATGCGATGAAAAGCTGCAGCAACATGTTATTCTGGTTCTCAGAGATCTATACATGGATACATCTTTGATTTTGGAGAATGCAAAGAGAGAAAAATTCATAGAGAAGCTGGTAGACATTGTGACTGATGATAACAGTGACAAGAAGGAGAGACGATTGAAAGCAGCTCTTGCGCTAGTGAATATGTGCTCCAAAACGGAAGCGGGTGCCATGAGTATTATTATTGCAAATGATAATCTCGTTAATAATCTCACCATAATGATTCTTGAAAATCATAGTTTCCGAATTACGGCAGCAAATATCCTGGGATCTCTATGTATTCATCACGCCATTGATGATGCAAGTCTCAAAAGGCTAAAGGAAGTCATGACAGATGTAGTTCCAAAGGTAATCGGTGCCACCATTTGTTTTATTCTCGTCAACAGTAGATGCAAAATATGGTGTTCCCTCAAACCTTCGTATTGACGGATACATCATATATAGAAGCTATCCTGCTTTCAATTATTAAGTCGTTCAGTTTAAACTGAATATTGTTGCCATTGTAGGTGCTTGGAGAGATACTACGTTGGGCATCAGAAGAAACCCAGACAGGAATAGAAGCTGACCAAGCCAGGTTCCCAGAACCAGAAACTGACCTTGAAAACCAATCTGGTGATTCACAAGATAATGGCCGGGGCCACAATACGTCTTCCTCTAATCAGCAAGACCGCAAGATGAGCGATTTTGAGGCGACTTGCATGTTATCCCTTTGTGTCAAGGTATGCGACACGTTGATCAGTGCAGATCAGGACTTGACTCCTCAGTTTGGATCAACTACCCCTCCTATGGATGGTGTATCTAGCTTCCCAATGAAGCTCAAGCAGATTGTAAGGAAAAATATACATTGCAGGTCTGACCGCCTGACAATTCTCAAGCTTACATCTAAGATGGTCATATCAATGATGAAACATAGGGGCAGATATAACAAAGAAGAACTGAAGAGCTTGATGGATACTCTGTCTACAGCTTCAAAAGACATGTTTCTATTCGATGGCTCGATGGTTTTTGAAATAAGGGAAGACAATGCAACAACACCGGAGTCTTTCAAGAGTCTTGCTTCCCTCGTGAAAGAAGCGCAGGAACTGGTGGACAAAAGAAATGAACTTTGATGTTGAAACTTTATTATTGGGGAACCCTGTTTAAGTTAGAATTTATTATTCACCTGCTGTCAGTACTCTTTATTATGTATTGTGAGTTCATCTGTATACCATATTTGAAACTTTGTGAGTGTCGCGTGTAAGGGACACACTAAGTAGCTCAAGTATATGGTGGCAATCTCACTCACAGATACAAATTGGGGTAGCGGTTACACAGTTCAGGAGGTAACTAGGGTTCTAGCGAGGGGGAAGAAAGGGGATCGGGAGTTGGTAGCCGCCGGGTGCCGTTTGCCGTGATCCACTGGATACCCTAGCCTGCCTTGGTCACTGGCTTAAGTACTCCTTCGCTCCTGGGCCGTGGGTTCCTCCATTCTGGGACGATGTAGCGTGGGTTGGACTTGGGCACACGGCTGGGCCTTCCTTCTGGGCTGGCAGGTGGGTCCTGCCAGTCAGGGGCGCTAACACCCCCTTCTTCTTCGGAAGAGGCTTGTCCCCAAGCCTCTGCATGTGGAAACCGGTCTTGGAGCGCTTCTCTGTCTTCCCAGGTGGCGCCAATCGTCGGCATGGACCATTGGACTTGAACCTGCTCCTTCATAGCGCCATTTTTCTTGCGCCATCTTGACTGCAGGACAGCCACCGGCACCGCGAGTTCCTCTTCCTGTGATGGCAGAGCCGTGGACGCCGTTGTGCCCGGAAGGAGAGCTTGCCGGAGTTGGGAAACGTGGAAGACTGGGTGCATCGTAGCTTGAGCTCGTACGCAACGTCATTGATCTTGGCGATGATCGGGAATGGTACGTAGAATTTGTATGACAACTTGTGATTCGCCCTTGGAGCCACCGATGTCTGGATGTATGGCTGAAGCTTGAGGAAGACTTGATCACCCACTTGGAACTGTCGGAACGAGCGCTTCTTGTCGGCTTGGTCTTTCATCAGTTGACGTGCTCTATGTAGCTGTTGTTGAATGACCCCTTGCATGACTGATCGCTCCTCGAGCCACGCTTGCAGAGCCGGCACCGTGCAGGATGTTGTTGCTGTGATCCCCCAGTGCCTTGGTTCCCGTCCAAACATGGCCTTGAAAGGAGTCATGCCGATCACTGAGTGGTGCGAGGTGTTGTACCAAAACTGCGCCAGTGGTATCCAGAAGCTCCAACATTTAGGGCACGTCTGGACGAAACATCGCAAGTATGTCTCGATGCACTGATTCACCCTCTCAGTTTGGCCGTCTGTCTGCGGGTGATTTGCCGTGCTCAAGCGTAGCTCCGTACCTGCATATTTGAACAACTCTTGCGAAAAATGGTTGTGAAGACTGGATCACGATCAGAAACAATGGCACCAGGGAACCCGTGCAGTTTGTAGAGCTGTTGCATGTAAAGCAAAGCCACCTTGGCTGCGGTGTACGGGTGCGCCAGGGGCAGAAAATGAGCAAACCTGGTGCGCTTATCCACCACCACCAGGAGACAATTGAACTGCCCGGATTGTGGTAAGCCATCCACAGAGTCCATCGTGATCAGGTCCCATGACTCGTGAGGTATGGGTAGTGGCATAAGCAGGCCTGGAGATGCGCTATGGTCAGGTTTTGCTTGCTGACAAACCTGGCAGCAGCGCACATACTGTAAGACATGAGTCTTCATCTTCGGCCAAGCAAAAAGCCTTCTGATGCGGCGGTAGGTCACCGGGAAGCCTGAGTGCCCCCCCATGGCACTATCGTGGAAGGCCGAAATGATGCGTTGCTGCATCTCTATCGATCCTCCGAGCCATATTCTATCCTGAAAACGCAGGATCCCTTGCTTCAATGTGAACCGGCCCTTAGGATCTTCGCGGATGGCAAGCTGCTCGAGGAGGCGCTGTGCCTGAGGATTGCTGTTATAGCTGTTGATGACGTCCTCAAGCCAGGCCGGCTGACAGGAGCTGATTGTGTGTAGGATCTCAGAGGTGTGGGCCCTTGACAGTGCATCGGCTGCAGTGTTGTCGCTCCCCTTCTTGTAACGAATTGAGAACCGCAGCCCCAACAGTTTGGTAAACGCCTTCTGCTGCCATGGGGTCGTGAGGCGCTGCTCGTTAAGATGAACCAGGCTGCGTTAATCCGTTGAGACGATGAATTCATCATGCTGAAGATACGGTCGCCACTGGTCGACTGCAACAATTACTGCCAAGTACTCCTTCTCATAGGTTGATAGGCCTTGGTACCGTGGGCTAAGTGCCTTGCTCATATATGCAATTGGATGACCACCTTGCTGAAATACTGCTCCAATCCCTTTGTCGCTGGCGTCTGTCTCTACAATGAAAGGCTTGGAGAAGTCCGGTAGGGCAAGCACCGGTGCTTCGATCGATTGTTGCTTGAGGACCTGGAATGCTGTCTCTGTTGCTGTGGTCCATACAAAGGGCACACCTTTCTTGAGAAGGTTAAACAATGGCCGAGCTATGACTCCAAAATTCTTGACAAACCGGTGGTAGTAACCTGCCATTCCCAGGAAACTACGGACCTCCTTGATGCTGGTTGGTGCTGACCATTGCGCCACAGCTTTGATCTTTGTTGGTTCCGTAGTGACACCCTGCTCACTGATGACATGCCCCAGGTAGGAGAGTTTCTGCTGCCCGAACACACACTTGGAGAACTTGGCCTTCCACTGATCCCTGCGCAACAGCGCTAGCACTCACCTCAAATCCTGTGCGTGGTCTTTGAGTGTCTTGCTGAATACCAGTATATCGTCAAAGAAAACCAGAACGCACACGTGCAGGAGGGGGTGGAACGTGGTGTTCATGGCTCCCAGAAATGTTGGTGGGCCACCTGTCAAACCGAAAGATACCACTCTGAATTCATAGTGTCCGGAGTGTGTCTGAAATGCCGTCTTGAATTCTTCCCCTTCAGCAAGACGGATCTGGTGATAGCCGACGCGTAGGTCGAGCTTGGAGAACCATGCCGCACCGTGTAGCTCATCCAGGAGCTCCTCAATCACAGGCACCGGGTACTTGCTGACACAAGTGATCGCGTTGAGCTGGCGGTAGTCAATGCAAAGCCGCCACGTTCCATGTTTCTTCTTGACAAGAATGGTTGGGGGAAGAGAACGGGT